CTGGGGACAGCTGGGGGTGGGGACACCTGGGGGTGGGGTGGGGACAGCTGGGGGTGGGGTCACCTGGGGGAGGGGTGGTGTCCCCATAGGGGTGGTGTCCCCATGGCTGCAGTGTCCCCATGGCAGTGGTGTCCCCATGGTGGTGGCAGCTCCGTGGCCATGCCAGGCCCTGTGGTGTCCCCACGTCCCAAAGCTGTCCCCATGTCCCAGAGGTGTCCCCATGTCCCAGAGGTGTCCCCATGTCCCCATGTCCCAGAGGTGTCCCCATGTCCCAGGGGTGTCCCAAAGCTGTCCCCATGTCCCTGTCCCCTGTCCCCAGGCTCCTGGATGTCATCCACACGGAGAACAAGCTGTACCTGGTGTCCCCATGTCCCAGGGGTGTCCCAAAGCTGTCCCTATGTCCCCATGTCCCTGTCCCCACGTCCCAAAGCTGTCCCCATGTCCCTGTCCCCTGTCCCCAGGCTCCTGGATGTCATCCACACGGAGAACAAGCTGTACCTGGTGTTCGAGTTCCTGCACCAGGACCTCAAGAAGTTCATGGACTCCTCGTCCCTCAGCGGGATCGCGCTGCCCCTCATCAAGGTGGGCCCCAAACCCTCCTGGGGGGCTTTGGGGTGTCCAGGGGGGCCCCAAACCCTCCTGGGGGGGCTTTGGGGTGTCCAAACCCTCCTGGGGGGGCTTTGGGGCGTCCAAATCCTCCTGGGGGGGCTTTGGGGTGTCCAAACCCTCCTGGGGGGCTTTGGGGTGTCCAGGGGGGCCCCAAACCCTCCTGGGGGGGCTTTGGGGTGTCCTGGGCCCCCCCAAACCCTCCTGGGGGAGCTCTGGGGTGTCCAAACCCTCCTGGGGGGGCTCTGGGGTGTCCAGGGGGCCCCCAAATCCTCCTGGGGGGTCTTTGGGGTGTCCAGAAGAGCCCTAAACCCTCCTGGAGGGACCCCCAATGTCACCCTGGGGGGGTTTTAGGGACATCCCAAGGACCCCAAATTCACCCTGGGGGGGTCTTGGGGACACCTGTGGGTTTTGGTGACCCCTGGGGGGATTTGGTGACCCCTGGAGGGTTTTGGGGACCCCTGGGGGGTTTTGGGGACCCCCTGACCCCCCGATTTTGTGCCCCCAGAGTTACCTGTTCCAGCTGCTGCAGGGGCTGGTGTTCTGCCACCCAACCCTGGGGACCCCAAACCCACCCTGGGGACCCCTGGAGGGTTTTGGGGACCCCTGGGGGATTTTGGGGACCCCTGGAGGGTTTTGGGGACCTCCTGACCCCCCAATTCTGTGCCCCCAGAGTTACCTGTTCCAGCTGCTGCAGGGGCTGGCGTTCTGCCCTGTGACCCCAAACCCCCAAACCCACCCTGGGGACCCCAATATCACCTTGGGGGGAATTTTGGGGACCCCTGGGGGGTTTTGGGGACCCCTGGGGGGTTTTGGGGACCCCCTGACCCCCCGATTTTGTGCCCCCAGAGTTACCTGTTCCAGCTGCTGCAGGGGCTGGTGTTCTGCCACCCAACCCTGGGGACCCCAAACCCACCCTGGGGACCCCTGGAGGGTTTTGGGGACCCCTGGGGGATTTTGGGGACCCCTGGAGGGTTTTGGGGACCTCCTGACCCCCCAATTCTGTGCCCCCAGAGTTACCTGTTCCAGCTGCTGCAGGGGCTGGCGTTCTGCCCTGTGACCCCAAACCCCCAAACCCACCCTGGGGACCCCAATATCACCTTGGGGGGAATTTTGGGGACCCCTGGGGGGTTTTGGGGACCCCTGGGGGGTTTTGGGGACCCCCTGACCCCCCGATTTTGTGCCCCCAGAGTTACCTGTTCCAGCTGCTGCAGGGGCTGGCGTTCTGCCCTGTGACCCCAAACCCCCAAACCCACCCTGGGGACCCCTGGGGGGGTTTTGGGGACCCCTGGGGGGGTTTTGGGGACCCCTGGGGGATTTTGGGGACCCCCTGAGCCCCCGATTCTGTGCCCCCAGAGTTACCTGTTCCAGCTGCTGCAGGGGCTGGCGTTCTGCCACGCTCACCGGGTGCTGCACCGCGACCTCAAGCCCCAGAACCTGCTCATCAACGCCGAGGGCTCCATCAAACTGGCCGATTTCGGGCTGGCGCGCGCCTTCGGGGTGCCCGTGCGGACCTACACGCACGAGGTGGGGTTTGGGGGG